ATAAGACCTTAATATTTCCCACCCAAAAAAGGTAAGTTATAAACTAAAATTTCTAGTTTTAAATTAATATCTTACACACAGCAATTAAACTATATTCTAACAAGCAATTCAAAATTAACCGCTTCCCAAATCTTTAACACTTTATATCTTAAGACTATTCCTTTAACTGACAAGAGTGGAGTCACTTATTCAATGAAGAAGCTTCAAATGGCTCCTTTAGAAGTTAATAAAATTTGTATTTTAAGACAAAAAGGACTTAATACTTAATGGCTAGTCTGCATTGAAAAGTAAAAGGAAAACATTATTATAAAATTATAATAGGCTGGTATGGTAGCAGATGCCTGTAATACTAGTAACTTGGGAGGCTGAGGCAGGAAGATCACAAGGTCAAAGGCAGCCTTGTCAACTTGGTAAGGCAGTGTCTCAAAACAAAAATTTTAATAGCTCAGTGATAGAGCACCCCTCGGTTCAATCCCCAACACCACAAATAATAATAATAATAATAATAATTATTATTATTAAATAGATTATGGCCTAATTAAACTTTGAATTCTTCTTTAGGACCAAGTTCAGACTTATAAAGTAAGCAACTGATTAATGACTCAATTGGTTATACTATTTTTTTTATAACTTAACCAAAATTTAAACCGCTTTAGGATTTTTTAATAGGAAGAGACTGATATTTAGAATTTTAAAAAATCTCCAGATATTAAAAATACATACTAAAGATAAAGTCTTTCATTTATTTTGTAAACACACAAGTTCTGGTATATGCAAAACAATATACTAAGCATCTGGATGTGAAGGATTTCAAGATGTATCTCACAACTCATATCTATGATATGAAATAATTCAACAAAATTTTTATTGAGCCAAACTCTCAAAATACAAAAATGCAGAAGACTAGATACTTATTCTTGTAAGTTTCTTACAAATAATATTCAGTAAGAAGTGTTTTAATAACAGAAGATAGGCAGAACATACCCCAGAATAGAGAATCTCTCTATTACCATACTATTACACAAGTTCCAAAAACAGAAAGAGCCCTTCTGGTTGGCAATTCGATTTGAACCTTGAAGAATGACTACGATTTTTATTGGCAAAGAACAAAGGAAGAATATTCAAGTGGTGCAAAATAAAAGGGGGGGGTCAAGATCTAGTTCAAATGAAAGTTAACCAACCTCTATAAAATAAAGAATACAAAACAATAAGGCTGTATTAAGCATAAGCAAATGAGAGAATGCTTTAAATTCAAGTTTAAGGAGAGGAGTGAACAATCACAGTGGTACTGTTATATATCTTAGATTGAACCAGTAAGAGAAATAACAAAGTTATTACCATACTCTAGGGATAAAATTAATAAAGGGGAAAAAATAAAAGAAGTAGGTTGATAATGGTGGCAGGAAAAGAACTGATGTAAAAGTAATTGTGAAGAAAAGATTGAGCCAGAAGATTGACTGATATATGCAGACAAGAGGCATGAGTAAACAACAACTAAAATGTTTAACTTGACCTAGAGATTAACGACATCATTAACAGAAATAGAGGCATCAATGAGAAGAGCAGTGTTGGTGAGGAAAGATGCTTCTTTTTAGGCTGCAATTATACAACATTAAACAAAATTCCTGACAAGAATGTAAAACTGTCTAACAACCAAATTTACAGACTGGAAAAAGGGAAGTCTAAAGATATGAAAAATATATGTATCTCTAATGTTGAGATAAAACAGATTATAAAACTAAATTAGAACTATGAAAATCTATGCTTGATCAAGTAGAATTGTTTAAAAAAAATGCCAAAGGTTAATGTAAATGTAGTAGTCATTCTGTGGCAAAGCTGGTGGACCTGCATTCATTGTATTATTACCTAAATATAAGATCACAACACTTAATACTATTTATTTAAAAACCAATACATCAGAAGAAAAATGAGGAATTGGTGATATGCAGAAACATGAAAACTGGAAATTGACTTGGAAACCATGGCACAGAGGAAAAAAGATTTAAGGAAAAATTAAAAAGCTAAATTCAAAATTGTGGAAGAAATCTCAGTCCTGCATTTTATGCACACCAGCAAGGATCAGCAAAAGGCATTCTATATATTCCCTATTAATCTAAATCTTTATAAAGTATGCTAAAATATAATCACATACTGTAAAACTCTACCAGGCAGCTTTAAAATCAGAAATCAATTTTTGCTTACTGATTAAACTGAAATTGTACTCCAGATCTCAGTTCTAAAAAAAAAATCAGAAATTTATATCATATGCTTGATGTGTGCTCTTTTCCAGTTGGGCAGAGAGAAGGAAGGCTACTTTGGAGACCAAGAGAGAAATTTAATTAAAAACAGTACTCTTTCTACTATATGAATGACTTTTTATATAAGAAGAGATAGCTATAAAAGAAGTATCAAGACAGCTCATCCAACCAATTAATAAACTTTTAAATATAAGCTCCTTATATTTAAATGCAAGGAAAACATTAGAATAACAAATATGTTTATGGGCTATGAAGTTCCCAAAACATTCTCCTGACAATGAAATTTAGAATATTCTATAAAAACTAAAAAGTAAGTGAATTTTCAAAAAGACTAACCAATAATTAATCTAGGAAAAACATTTCAGGTATTCTATGATCTTATGAGAATTTAAGAAAATGATTCAATAAGTATTCAACAAATCAGTAGGTCATTTTGGTATTAAGTATTTAAAACAAGCAGCATTCAAGAGATTTCTTAAAAGCTTAAAATCGTTTTGTGGCTCTTTACAAAAAAGTTTTTTAATCACCTTTCACTATCTGGTATCCTGAATTTGCCCAGAACAAACTCTATGCACTCAGTTACAAAGAGAAAAAGGTACAAAATAAATGAGAAATCAAAGTTAAGAAAACATAATAAAAATTGCACTGCTTGATCTTTTCAAGGCTTTGGCCTCACTGTTCATGGAATGAGCAAATAAATTACAAAAATGGTTTATGCAAATGGTATATACTTAGAAACTTCTGCTTAAGCAATGTCAACTACAAAACTCCCAATAAAAACTGTATCTACATCACAACAAAATGACTAACCACAGAATTCAATTAATCAAGGAGACAATGGTAAGTCTTTGCAACATGTGCAAAACTGAGTTTTTAAAGAGACCCTAAGAAGGCCATTACCTGTATTCCCTCTTACTATTTAAACCAGTATTATATTAACATAGTAGAAAATTTTCCTCTTCCTCTAAGCCAATAAAATTGGGTTCTTCCATAACAGTAGTTAACTTTAAATTTCTGTTTCATAATTTTAATATATTGACATGAACCATTATCCAATTATCCTGACCTCATACATACAATAAGTCTTTCAAAATCAATTTCATATTAAAACATGTGAATGTTTTACTTGGAAACAAATTTGTAAAGATTTTTTTTTATGTTTTTAGAATGTAGAGTTATACTGCCTAAAATAAAGTTCAGCCTAATAAAAAGTTTGCTATACATTAGAAAACCTTAATTAATGGAATACAGAAAGAGCCAAAGACCATGTTATATTTTCTCTGGGTGTTACATTCTGAATTCCAGATTTGTTCTGCAATTTGCCAATCATTTCAATCCATCCAGTCAACTCTGTAAACAAAGGCTACATGCCAAGTTCGATATGAGAATTTGATTAAATAAAACTTAAAATGGTCATCATTCACTTAAACAGGAAGCAGTAAAACGGAAAATACCACCACACACCTCTTTTACAAAGGCATCAAGTTAATATTCACGAAATAAAGGCTTAAGTTTTGAATTCTCAAACAAGTTTTTACTAAAGCATTACTCAAAATAACTCTTCGATCTTCCATATATAATAAAGGCAAGTTTGACATTAGCCCCAAAGTCTTTGAAGCCTAAGAGATTTTCTAGTCATTCCAAATTGTCCAATAAGAAAAAAAAAAAAGGAAAAAGTCTATGTCATGCCACCTATTACCATCACTTAAAAATTGCTTTTTATGCAGAACTCTACGGGTTGTGTTGCTTTTGGCCTGTTAAAGGCAAAGCAACATTATCTCTGGATTGCCAATAGTTTCTCCTTATTTGGCTAACATTGAGAGATCCCAATCAGACTACTATAAAACTTTAACATGCACAAAGCATCCATTTTGAGAAAACTTTGTGACCAGCTTTCTCCCCCCCTCCGCCCCCCAAGAAAAAACAGAGCTTGGTAATTGGCTTTGAAGAGTGCAAGATGTTTATTCTTTTTCTAGCCTCAGTGCACACCCCAGGACCTAGGGCTCAAGGATCTCTGACACTGCGGCAAACTCTTTGAGCACCGGACTCAATATGTTCCGGTCCGGTGGTGGGCAAGCCCTTTGGGAACGCTTCTTTACCTTACACAATCCAATTCCCCCTCTTTCAGCCAGTGCAGATCAGCTAATTACACCCCGTTTTCCCCTCCCCAGTGACCAAGAGCAATAAAGGAGAAAACAGGAAATCGTTCGCTCAGGGCACTCAGCTTAGGACTCCTAATGACTATTATTATCATCATCACTTGTAATAAGCCCTAAAAAGTACAACAAATCCAATGCCCACCTACAAGCCAAAGACGTCCATCTGCCCAAGCGTCCCTAATGTCCCTTGTTGTCGCTTTCTTCAGCACCCCCCTCCCATATATCCCTGACACTGGGGCCGGCACACCCCACTACACCCCTCCCTGTCTCGACCCCAAACACCAGACATATGTCCACAAACGGCTCTGGAGCCCCAAGAGGATCGTAGACCCCTTTCTCCTATGGCCCGGAAATCACCCGGTTCCCAACTCCAACAGCAACCGGTCTGAAGGGGGCCTCAAACCCAGCGCCCTCGCTCCACTAGTCCTCTTGCCCTCTCTCTCTCGGGAAGCCGCCCCCTCACCCGCAGCTGGGAGTCTCCCGCCGCCCCCAGCCTCAGGAGGTCCGTGGACGAGGGGAGGCCTTGACGTGAGGCCGACCACGACCCTTAGGATCGCAAGACCAGGCGGCGGGACGCACAGACCTGATGGAGGGCAGTGAGTCCGTCCACATTGGCGTAATTGATGTCGGCGCCGCGGTGCAGCAGCTTGAGAACCTCGTCCGTGTCGCCGCTGGAGCAAGCAGCCAGGAAGACGGCGCCATCGTCGAACTTCACCTTGGTCTTCTGGCGCTTCACCACGGGAGGCTCGAGGTCCGTCTCCGAGCCGATCCAGCGCTTCAGCTGCTCGTTCCGCTTCTGCTTCGCGTCCGCCATCTTCATCCCCTCTCCTGCCGCCGGGTCTTCTTATCGCGAGGGGGGGGAGGGGGAGGCGGAGAGGGAAGAGCGGGGAGTCAGGGGGTGTGTGTCTGTTTCTATGAGTGCAGGCCAGAGGAGGGCTGGGAACCAGGAGGAGACACTCGAGACTTCCAGTATCCCACAGAGCACTGGGGCGGCGTGCCCGACCGAGCGGACCTCCCTTCCTACCACAGAAACCCTCCCGCCCCCAGCACGGCCACCCGTCACCGGCGGCCAATCTAACGTAACTTCGCGAGATCCGGGCAGGGAGGCGCCCTTCGGCCAGTGCGCATGCGCTCTGGACCTAGACCCGCCCCAGGAAGAGCGCTCCCGCGAACTGCGGCGGGGGCGGTCCAGCCACCGGAGGGAAGCGGGTGTGGCCCGGGCAGCCCGGGCTGTGGGGGCCGGGGCCAACCTGGAAGGGAGGAGGCAGGGAAGGAAGGTTGTCCTGCCCAGTTGAGGGTTCCGGAAGCCAGCAGTGAGGCTGCAAGGCTCTAAAGGGCAGACCTGCCTCCGGGGCTGTCTCAGCTATGCTGGGTCGTTTGCTCAGGGCGGAGGATTTTCCTATTGGCTGCGTTATTTGAATGGAATAGAAGATAGGTCGTGAATTAGGTGCTTGTGGTCGCGCTTTCTGAGGAACTCAGAAGAACTTGAGCACCTTATTATTGATAGGCACGTTTAAGAAAGTGGGGTCTGTGTTGCTGCCGGCTTTGGTGGTAGTTACCGAATGACCACCTATTGACAAAGGTTGACCTGCGGTAATTGCAGTGGCTTCCTGCCAACACCCACTGTAGAAACGTCTTTCCTCTTATGCTTATTTGTTATTGTTTTGGTTTTCCTCTCTCTTTACGCTTATAGTAAGTCCCCTTCCCCTTCCTTCAATGCTTTAAGCCTGTGTGGCACTACCAGTGAGCTTAGCTCAGCCTTGTTAACTGGTCCTGACCTTTTAAGGGATTTGTGGTTCCAGCTCCACTGCTTTCTAAGGAGGAGTAAAGACCCAGTTGCGTTTACATTCAAAAGGCATGTTAGTTCAACTGATATATATTGAATACCTACCCGGCAAGCCGTGACTTAGTAGGCACTGAAAATACAATGGGAAAAATGACTTCACGTGCTCAAAAAGACTAATTTATCTTCATCATAAAGAAAGAATTTTTAACTTTGCCTTGTATGACCACACGCGCGCGCCTACACACAATTCGTATTACTGATGCCTTATGAATCATTTATCAGCAATCACTACCGAAAGATTTTTTTAAATAACCCCTTGTTATCCACTATTTTTAGCGCATTCAATGTCAAAGTGAGTTATAAAACTTCACCGTTCAAAGGAAACTGAAGGATCATCTGGACTGAATCCTCAACGTACTAGTTGATTTATTTAATTTTACTGAGGAACAGGGTTAGGATCCATTCAACAACAAATATGCACCTGTTCTGGGTCAGGCTGTGTGTGTGTGTGTGTGTGTGTGTGTGTGTGTGTGTGTGCCCGCGCGCTGGAGATACAGCAGTGAACAAGTATGCCTTTCTTATTCTCAGTATAGTGGCTTTTCCAGCACACTACATTGCAGCCTATCATATTAAGAAATAAAATAATTGAGTAAAATATGAGTAGGAAATCAACTGCCTGTAAAACTGAATACTCTGAACTGCAATTACTGGGATAGTAATAGAATCCAAGTGAGGATAAAAAATATTTCCTTTGAAAATACTGTAGAAACAGAAAATGAGTGTAGCATAGTAAAATGCACTATTGTGTCTTCATAAGATACAGGAATGATAATATCAGCCCTTTGTATAATGATGGCTTTTGGTGCTGAGGAATTCCATTAACTCTAAAATATAAAATTCCGAACCACAGAATACACTCTCAGAATTAAAAAAAAAAAAAATTTAGATTGCCTTCTCAGCTCCTCTGTCTCCCTAGAAAAACTGATAGTTTATTCCTATTTTCCAAGAATGTAATGATCTATTTGGTAATTTTGAAAAGCACTCTTGGAATATAGATCAATATCTCAAGTTTTCATATGAGCAAGAGGAATTCAGTGGGAAGTCTGCCATTTCAGATTTATTTATTGTAATAAAGAAGCATTTATTTCAGAATGTAAAGTTAATAAATAAATACGTATTAATAAAACATAGTTAAGTCTGATTTCCAAAGGTACCAGTTAAAAAAAAAATCCCAAACCCCTGAGCTGTTGACTTGTGCAAATTTCACTGCATATAGCTTTTCTTCTACAAATTTAAGGATCAGGAAGCTCTATATTAATGTCATTGAAAATACTCTTTATTGCCACCTGTTTTGTCTTTTTAAAAATTTTTTTGTTGTAGATGGATATGATACCTTTATTTTATTTATTTATTTTTAATGGGGTGCTGAGGATGGAATCCAGTGCCTCAGGTGCAAGGTAAGTGTTCTGCCACTGAGCCGAAACCCCAGCCCCCTGCTTAGTCTTTTTAGGGAGGAATTTTTTTTAAAAATGTTGATGAATTACTGAAGACCTAGGGCTAGTATCAGAATAGGCAAAACTTTTTATTAGAATATACACAAAGAAATCACTTTGTATTACCTTAAAAGCAGATGAAAAAATTGGACAAGTAACAAATATTTCATTTCTTAATGGCCTGTAAAAGTAAATTGAAATGTAAGAGTATATTTTAGCAATGTTAAGGCAATTTAAATGTTAAAATAGAAGTCCAAATGAAACTATGTTTATTAATTTGCCAATTTTTTTTCTGACAAATCATTAATCCTGATGGGGTTTTTGTTACATGCACAAGGCTGTCTGAATAGGATCTTTACACAATTTTTTCAAAAAGATTTATTACACTAAAAATATCCTCTACTAATCATTAATTTACTTGTTGATTATGACCAATTTAAATAATTTTAATAAAGAATAAATTTATATTAGATGCTTAAGCAACTTAGACTTTTTTCCTGTAAATACTTTTTTTCTTTATCACCTATGAGCTAGAATCCAGAATAAGATATTAAACTTACTGTTATGTTTATTATTAGCAAAATTACAAGAGTATATAATATTAGGCAAAAATTTTGTGTTTGTATATGTATTTATAGCCTTAGTTTAGTAACAACCATATAGTGTGGAGATTTATTACTATCATATTAGAATGCTGAACCTAAATCTGAAATTTTAGTTCATTACAATGCAGTCTGTGAATACAGGCCAAGAAAAGGATGGAACTGGAGACTATCATGCTAAGTGAAATAAGCCAGTCCCCAAAACCAAAGGCCAAATGTTCTCTCTGATATGTGTATGCTAACCCACAACAAAGGAGGGTATAGATGGGAATATTAGAAGTTCATTGGATTGGACAAAGGGGAATGAAGGGAAGGGAGGGAGGATGGGAATAGAAAAGACAGTAGAATGAATTTGACATAACTTTCCTATGTTCATATATGAATAATGACCAGTGTAACTCCACATCTTGTACAACTACAAGACTGGGATCCTAATTAGAATAAATTATACTCTTTGTTTGAACAGTATGCCAAAATAGACTTTACATCATATATATCTAAAAAGAACAAAGGAATAAAGAACTTGAAGAAAAGTTACAGACTATAGCATTATAAGGTATTTACTGTCAATGAGGAAGTTCACCAAAACCAATAATGACCCATCCAAACTTGATTTGGACTCCATTTCTAAACCAATTCTGATTGGATCATACAAGGTCAGTCTCACTCCAGACCCAATAGTTCCTTTTACAACTCTTGACAGCTTTGTTCTAACTCTTCTGGGTGAAATTTCTGCCACATCTGACTTCATCTCAAGAAATTAATCCTAGCATAGTACAATTAGTGACTTGGTATTTCCATGGAGTAACACTGCCCCCCCACCCCCACAAAAAAAAAAAAAAAACTTGGGAATCAGATGAGTGTCTAGCAACAATCCAAAATGCAGGCATAGTGCTGAAGAGATAACTTACTACTACTGCACATGACTCCCAACCTGCATCATGTTCAATGTCAGAACATTACATGACCATTTATATGAATTATTTAGCTTAGTGTGTCTCAAACTTTTATCACAATTTTTGCCAGATTCAAGAATCAAAACTATTACTATTTACTTAATGTTTTCTTTAATCTTTTAAAAACTTACATGGAGCGGCTGGGGATGGGGCTCAGCAGTAGCTCACTTGCCTGACATTTGAGACAGTGGGTTCGATTCTCAGTACCGCCTATAAATAAATAAAATAAAAGTCTATAAACAACTTTAAAAATATTTAAAAAACTTACATGGAATTAAAATAAACATTTTGTTTTGGTAATTAGAAAACATTTTCAATATACATAAAAGAAGACCATAAAAACAAAATATTATTCTACATTCGGGTGCCAATCAAGAATTTTAGCCCAAGACTTAATCTCAATTTATATGAAAAAGAAAAATTGGTAAGAGTTGGACATATTAACCTCACAACTAAAGACTTTTCTACTTAGCATAATCAGAAGATAGGATATTGAGAAGATAATAACCATTTTGCTAAGGGGTTCTCTGTTATTTTAGTGGTGTATCTACCTAGAGAATTGCTTCATGTGCCACAAATCTAGATGTCTCATTCTTTGGGAAACTGGCTGACTACAGTTACCATGTATAATAATTATGATTAGCAAAGGTTACAGGAAGAATCTTGGTGGTACAACTGCCGCAATTAAGGAAGGCAAGCAATCGAAAGACCAATTTATATGAAAGTATATTCTTTGAGAGAAAACCTAAAAGCAACTTCAGAATGAAGGGTTATGTTCCATAGCACTGAAATCATCAGAACAACTGAAGGCTTCTCCACCATCTGAAAAGAGAATTTTAAGTGCGTAAACTCCATCTTGGGACACCAGTATTTAATTGAGGGATCCATTCAGTTGTTCTTCAAATAAATTCTAGGAAAGACTTCTAAATTTCTCTGTAGACCAGAGTGTAAAATTTTGACAGAGTAAGATAGTGAGAACATAAATGTGCAGTGGAACAGATATAGTATCCCTAATAATGAGGCTAATTATACTCAGTTTTGGCAGGTGGGAATGATATCCATTTCCTGTGATTGTTTTAAAGATTAAATGGATAATGTATGTGAGAAAGAAAAAAGTTAATTTTTTTTTTGTTTCTTGTCTTTGCCCCTTTTCCTTCCCTCTTTTAAGCTGT